GGATGAGTTGTGGTTAGGGGGTGAAATGCCACTGAACCCAGAGCTAGCTGGTTCTCCCTGAAATGCTGAGGCGCAGCAGTTGACTGACATCTAGGGGTAAAGCACTGTTTCGGTGCAATATGAGAGCGGTACCAAATCGAGGCAAACTCTGAATACTCAGATATGACCCTCAAAATAACAGGGTCAAGGTCGGCTAGTGAGACGATGGGGGATAAGTCATCGTCGAGAGGGAAAAGAGCCCGATCACCAGCTAAGGCCCCTAAAATGACCGCTCAGTGATAAAGGAGGTAGGGGGCAGAGACAGCCAGGAGGTTTGCCTAGAAGCAGCCACCCTTGAAAGAGTGCGTAATAGCTCACTGATCGAGCGCTCTTGCGCCGAAGATGAACGGGCTAAGCGATCTGCCGAAGCTGTGGGATGTCAAAATACATCGGCAGGGATATTTGAATTCCTTGTCCACTCTTTCCAGTATTTTCCGAAAAACAGCAATTAGGAATAGAGAATATATATCAAAGAAAGGTCTAACTGTTGGAATCATTTTTTCCATTGCTATTTGATACATTTCGGTCATTAACATTAGTGAATTAGTGAAAGTGTTAGAAAGAGAGGGATTCGAACTCCTCGGTAAACAAAAGCCTACATAGCAATTCCAATGTTACGCCTTAAACCACTCGGCCATCTCTCCTACATACGATTATGACCCAAACCGAGTGAATAGCGAGTCAGTCATAAACAATTTTTGATTGATAGGTACGACCAATCCATTCTAACTAGAAAAAATCTCCAATTTTGCATTCCTGTTTTCTTTTTTTTTTTAATATCCTCCTTCCTTGGATTAGTACTGGGACGCATATATCAAAAGCTCAGTGTGAAATTTGAATGAGATATATCTTCTTTTTTTCAAATTCAAAATGTTCATAATTGAGGTTACACAAAATCGGAGCCAGAAAAGGAAAAAGTGGAATCTGGAAAAGTATTCTCTAAGGGTAATGTAATTGAGTGAAATTCATTTTGTATCGTACAAGAAAGGAATTCCATTTGTGTATGTGCTCCCGATAAAAAGAAATAAGGTACTTATTCATTACATACATGGATCGGGTTGAAAAACCAGACCCTGTCTCTCTTGGAATCCTGAATATGCCAATAAATAATGAATTGTACTAATCCACATATGTCTCTCTCCCATCAATCGGTACTAGTTGAAGTAATGAAAAAATCCCCTTTCCTTACAGTCAAGTGGCTTTCAGCTCCTCTGGCGCGCCCTAGCCGAGCGGTCCTCGCCTGCACAAGCAAGTGAGATTAGCTCCCTTACTTTATTGGGCGAACGAGGTAGGGTTAGATTAGGATGGAGGAGGACTGCGAACGTCCGTCCCACGAGCCAGGGAACCATGCATTCCTCCCGGCTGGGCTCGCGTGTCCGGGATCCGATCAGATCTACCAGCGACCGGTTTACGGAACAAGAGCAAGGGGCGCCAGGAGATTGATAAAAGAACCTGGCCGAAGTCAGTCTTGTGTTCAATTCCGCGTTGAAGGATTTTCGCCATCTGTCTTTCCCTTCTCTCTTCTCTTAGCAAAGGTAGGTTCAAGTCAAACTTTTGGTTTGCGGGCTCAGGACTGCAGTCAGCTGCTTCCCTTGTAGTCGTCAGCTCGTTCTTGACAGATCCGATCGGGTGTTCATAATCTGGAGTAAAAGGATTCGAACCTTTGCATGCCGGTACCAAAACCGATGCCTTACCACTTGGCTATACTCCATAGGCCTGTTTTGGACGGTAGGAACGGGGAGAGGGGGAAGGAGAAGCAGGGCTCGGGGCTAACGAGCCGAGCCGTGCAAGGACGCGGGGATATAGCAAGTAAGCAGCAAGGTTCTCCTTTAGACCGACTACAAATAAGCTCAGACTTAGAATAGAAAGAAAGGGTAAGCTCTCTGCTCTATTTGCTTGTAACGCGTGCCTATCAAAGTTGGCGAAGGCTTCTGTAACCTTAGACTCGTTACGCTGTTCGACTGAACTGTTACCCATGTCCACTGAAAGTCGGTAACCTTCGTCACCGTCAGCATTTGGTACTCTCTCGATAGCTTCAATAGTTCACTGAAAGCCTTTTGGTGTAATAAAACCGCAAGCTCCTTCAGAAAGAAAGACATAATATAAATAATGAATTAATTAATAAACATTAAGAATTCAAAAAGCGTTGGTTAAGAACTATTGACTGTAAAACTATAGCAGTTACAGTCACTCAATGGAGATGTTCGCCTTTGTTTGGAATGAAGATGGATGAACAGGCACTTGAGCCTGGAACTGATGAAATTCGGGGAAAACATGGAAGCGGTCACTATACTGGGGGGCAAGACATGACCGCGACTAAGAAAAAAGTACCCTTGAAAAGACTAAAGGAACGGGGGAATGACTACCTGTAATAAAGCACAGGCTAATACGAGCCGACCAGAAGAAGCAAGGCTTAGATTACCAGATCCTGGACACAATCTTCCTAGAGATGGAGAGAGCCACTTGCCCTGCCTTTTTGCACCTATCCTTCTTGCTTGCTTACCTATAGCCTTTGTCTTAGTGACTCTTCCTCTTTTCTAGGTTTTTTTTTCTGAGTGTTAAAACGATAGATTTTGCATTTGCCAATGAATTGGATCCGCCCTGATTCGATCAATAATGGGATTCTTGGCTAGAGAAAGGTTCTGTGACATGGACGCCCAGCCCAACTCGGTCGGTCGGTTGGCCCACCTAACAGATGATGAGATTTCGACTCGATTTGATCGAATTTCATTCTTTCTCACTATTCAGAACAGTGGAGCTGATCAAGATCTTCTCGCCTCACCTGTTTGGCCTTGCCTCGAATCGGAACCTTTATGCGTTGGTAGGCTTTCGACTCAATCTAATAGCCTACCTATCGGGCGCCAATAAAAGAGAAAGTTTTCGCATGGGCTCATCATCTGATGCAGAACCGATGCGAGAGGGAGAAGGGGGATTGATATTAAGAACCAGTAGGGAAAGACTTCTTCCTGCATTCCTTCCTTTCCAAAAAGTCAATTAGTTTGGGCAAAAACCTGGTAGTTTTCCAAACAAATCCAATGTTGGGCCAAGCCTTTGCCAGCCGGTAATAGCCGAAGGAAAAAAGGGGAGATGATTATGATAGTCACTCCACTCCCAGATAGTGCACAGATTCTCTTTCATTTTCCATTCCTTTCGGGTCGGAAACGCGGCTGCTAGTGGGGCTGTGCCTATTCTTCCTTTCGCTTTACAACCGGAATAAGGAACCTTAGAATTCACCCTACCTGTCGATGAAAATGATTTGAGAGGAGCTGAAAGCCACTCGGCCCGGGCCGAGGAGCTGAAAGCCACTTGACTCTAAGGAGAGTGACCACCAGATAGCGGATCAGAAAGATTTGTATGGAATGTCCTACTCCTGCCTGAGCTTTCGATCAACCAATCCCCTATTTCAGGGACATCTGTGTTAGGTAGGCCCAGGATCATTGATTAGTCGAATGAGCCCATCTCTCTGGCCTATCATTTGTTGGTCGATCCGGCTGGCGGCTCCTGCATCTCCTGCCTCTCTATGGGGGCCCCTTTTTTATACTAGTTTGCTGCTAGGGAGTCCCTAGAGTCGAATTAATAATCAATAGGAAGTCCTTAATAGAAGTTGACTGACCTGGCTCTTCAATCGACGATCTACTGCTCCTCTAATAGCAGATGCCCATGCTTTGATTCGAAAGCCCTAGCCATCCCCAGGTATTCAGTGTCTGGTTCGATAGGACCAGGAAGAGAGGACTCTTTTCCTCCTCCCTTCAGTCCAGTTTGAACCTGTCCAACAATGAACACTCATTTGTAAGTGTGAGGCCTGCCCTTCCTTGAACCACTCCGGGTCGGAGGAGCAACTAGTCAAACTTCTTGAGCAGCCGAGATATTGAACAACGAACATTTGAAACAATTCCTTGCCTCACCCTGAGATGAGAGGGAAGGTCGATTTTACTCGAATCCTGGACCTGATCTGAATCCTACACCGGTTAATGATGCGATGGGGAAGTTTTTCTTTTCATCAGTCGCTACTCAGTCGAGGCTCGTCCATGCCCAATCCCGATGGGCCTTCGATTTGCCCCTACCCTAGCTCTATAATCCACCGTCTTCCCTGCAGTCCCCAGTATTCTCCGGGGCCCAGCCCTTCTCCACTCGAGTCTGAAGTTCAGCGGCTTTAATGTTGACGGAACACCGCGCTAATAAGAGTGAAGAACAGAGTCTATGCCTTGAATAACTGTAATGGATTAGTGAATGAGGGATCAAGAGACGGATAGGGAGGGAATGGCCTATCAATCATTGGTTGACCTTCCCTTGAACCAGTCACGGAGCCTGGAACTGAGTTGTTAGGTTCTGGAATTCCCATCTCTAGTTGGGGCTTTCGATTCGAAAAATGTGGTGAACAGAATCAAGAGGAGCAGAGCGAAGTGAGAGGGCTGAAAAGGAGGCTCACCCACAGTGGAGAGGGAGGGAAGGATTGAGGGGACCCAGACTTTCGATCTCTTCTCTATGGCGGGAGGTTTCTTTCGTATCAAGAGTGTGTTGGGGAGGCCAGGGAAGATGGATTGGATCGAGAGGCGATGCTTATGCCTCTTCTTTCTCGATAGGATTCCCATCATTTTCAGTCTACGGCGAAGGAGCAAGGGCGAGGCACCGAACATGTCTTTACCCTCAACCTCCATCCGTCATTAGTAATCTCACCCGCTTTTTCCTATTCACTAGTACACTGCGCGCTACAACTAGCAGCCCCTTGTATAGGTTGGGAAAGGCTATGCGCTAGCGCGCAACGGCTGATGAAAAGCCAGCAACTTCTTAGGAGTAGGTTTTGGCTTGCCCCTCTCTTAGGAGTCAAGTGGCTGGAACGCCCTTTCTTCTTATTATTAGTCAGATAGGTTTGGAACCCTATACAAGGGGCTGCTTGCTGCCTGCCCCTATCTCTAAAGTGGCTTATGCACTCCACTTGTTACCACTAAAGACGGGAAGCCAGAGCGAAGGAGGGATCAACCCTCAACCTCAGCCTTGGCAAGGCTATGCTCTACCATTAAGCTATTTGCCAGCTAGGTAGTGGCGAAGCACTACTGAGCACCACGTATCACTCTGGATACGGACGACTTCGTTTTTCCGCTGACCACAGTCTTGACCTCCGATCGAGCTACGAACACGAGTAGATAGGCGGTTAGGGGGAGAGGGTCGGCTGGGCCTGCCTTTTCAATCAATCTCCGCCGCCTGTGCGCCGCTATTGGTGCGAGTTGTAAGGAGTCTTGGTCTCGAGTCAAGCTGGGGCGTCATTTCATTCTCGTAACGGGAATGAGGCACTGCAAGACCAGACAAGTTGCTCCCCGCTCTCGCAGCGGCGGCATCTGTCTTTTGCTAAGTCATTTCCTAAGACGGCCTCTTATTCTACGATAATCCAAGCTGCAGCGGCACTTACGAACTTTACTGGGGCAGTACTATAGGCATTTGCGAGTGTTTGGATGCACGTGTTTTGTCTATATTCCTGCGCAGTTAAGAGAAAAATTGTCCCCAAGGCAACCACTTGTGTCTTTCTTTTGGATATGCTCAGTCCGGGTATATATAATATACAGACGAAATCCAAGAGAGTCGATGTATCCTTAATGCCTCTTTAATAGGTCGCCTCATACTTTCCTTAACCTAATTAATCAGCCTCGGGGAGAATGATGATGGAGATGTCTTGCGGCCTTCTCCCCGTTCATCAACTCGAACCTCATTCTTCTGCAGTTGATGTTACGATTAAATCCCCAGCTTCAGGCCAGCAGCTTTGCTCAGCATTTTCTGCCGACTGTCAGCCTGTTCAGCTGACCTCAGAGGAGTCCTGTCACCTGGCACAGCATGTTTATTCTCGGCGGCGATTACAGTCTCTTTCCCAGGGTCAGGCTACTCCAGAAGATCAGCAGTCTAGCCCAGTTGCTTCCCTTCCAGTCGCTTCCTCAAATTCTGATCCTGCCTCAGCTTCGTCGATCCTCTCAAGTTTCTTATCCTGTTGAAGGCTTATGAATCGTTTTCCCAAAAGATCGAGCTTACCTCATATATCTCAGTTCAATCTTCTCATGAACCTGAATCATTTGCTTCAGCCTCCAATCATTCTTGCTGGAGAGATGCTATACAGGAAGAAATCAATGCCCAGGAAAAAAATAATAAGACTTAGTCTCATTGCCTGCAGGGAAAGAAGCCATTGGCTGCAAGTGGATTTACAAGATTGGCATAAAGCAGATGGCTCGGTAGATAGATACAAGGCTAGATTAGTAGCTGTATATTCCTTCAAGAATATTGAGTCGAACCCTTTCCTTACAGCCGGCGGCCCAAGGGCCCCTTTAGAGATAGGGAAAACATTTTTTTCAGGTTGCTAAACACCATTCGTGGCATTCTTGCCTTGGCTGCAATCAAAAGGTGGCCTTATTTCAATTTGACGTGAAGACTAGAATGCCTTTCAACAACATAAGGGAAGGGGCAAGAATAAGTTTATCGCCTCCCAACTCCAGGCTTCTTCTCCTAGGAATCCTAACTTGGTATGCAAGCTCAAGATAGCGATTTATGTTGATAGGCTTCCGGCAAGCTAAAGCAGGCACAAGAGCTTGGTTTGAAAGGTGACAGCAGCATGTATAAGAGCCGAAATAGGAGTAGAGGAAGGAGCCGGTTTTCAAATAAGTAAATCGGATCATTCAATGTTTATAAGGAGGTCGACATCAGGTATTGTCCTTCTTCTGCGTGGATGACATTGCTTTCTCTAGTAATGACTTAGCTTCGAAATGAGCCAAGAGAAGATTAAGAACTCCAGTTTGATATGAAAGATTTAGGAGACTCAAAGCCCTTCTGAGATGAAGTGATGTGAGGTCGCAAAGAGTTTTGGAACCCAGTGCAAGTATTCATTGATTTATTGTCAAAGCTGGTCTTTCTGCATGCAAACCGGAATAAGATCTAAAATTAGCCTCAGATGCAGGAGAGCTATTGGATGACCCATCTACTTGCAAGGAGACTTGTTGGGACTCTTTTCTACCTGACTAATTATCGCCCAGACATTGCTTACACTTACAACATAGGAGGGAGTGATCAGCCGATTTTTATATGGACAAGCCGAGATCATCTCACTTAGAAGCTGCTTTTCGGATTCTGCGATACATCAAAACCTCACCGGGAAGAGGTTGATTCTGTCTACGTCATCCTCTCTTCAGCTGTTTGTTACGCTTATACTGATTTCATTAAGGCAGTAGATTATTCTGATTGGATTTCGAACATCGTCCCCATGCCCAAGAGGGATGGACGTGTTCGCGTATGCATCTACTTTGAAATCTCAATAAAGCATGTCTCTAAAGATGATTTTCCGCTGCCGAACATTGATTTGCTTGTGGACAAGACTATTGTGAAAGTATGCCTAATACTCTTTCCTAGACGATTCGAAATTCTCGTCGTCGGCTTCCTCACTATCTGAGCTGAATTACATCCACCCTCGAGGTAGAGTTCGTTTTGTAATAGAGCCCTGTTGCTTTTACGGAGCTTGGCCTGCTTTCGCATTAACTCACCATTTGGTGATTTGGTTCGTAGCAGCCCAAGTCTATCCAGGAGTTCCTTTTACACGCTACGCTATCCTCGGCGACGATATCGTCATCGGAGATGAGCGGGTGGCTGAGCGTTATCGCGAGCTACACTTTCGCCACTGAATGTTCCATTTTCGTTAGAGAAATCGTTAGTATCGTCAGTTGGTGCTTTGGAGTTTGCTAAGCGGTTCTTCGTACGCGGAGTGACTAAGGACTTTTTCCTGTCTCCTGTCACATGTTAAGATCCTTAGTTAGTTCCATATCCCTTGTTCCTGTAATGAGGGCTATTATGTCTAAGAATCTTCCATTGTCGTATCGTTTACGGGAAGCTGGGTACCGGGTGTATACTTCGACGCACGGCGCCTCCTAGGAGACACTGGAATCGGCATTTCCTCGTCTTTCACTCACCGAACGGTGTGTGTCCTCTCCTTTTGGATCTGGTTAAGCGCAACCACTGGTAAACACTAACTCCTTATCAACAAGGTATGGTGAGGGGACCTGATTAGGTTTGACTTCGATTCCTGAGAAACTCGGTGATCTCGAAGTTTTTCGAAGCCTGGTCAGAGTACATGACTGGTTAGGGGGTGATGGGTTTTATCCGGAATGGATGAAGTCCATTTCACGGTCTTGGTATTACACTATCGCGGAGGAAAAAAGACTCCCATTGAGGCGCTACTTAGCCCGTAGGTTGTGCCACTGGTGACTAACCATACAAATAAATTATATCATTTTAATAATAACTAATAACTGGCGCAGTCTTCCGGGTGTTGCATGACCTGGTGCTCTCTTGTGAAGAGCCAAAAGCTCTTGACGTGTGGAGGTTCGGTCCAGTCTGTTCACCTCAGCGCCCTATTTGAGACTAAAGTATATGGTGGCGACCTCGTCTTAAGATAAGATATAGGCAATAAGACTTAAGCGCACTCTGAGCGCCTTTGCCCATAGAGAATACTGGGGATGAAAGTCTCTTAAGGGGGGTTCTATGGAGCAAGTCTCCCATTGCTTTCGCAAACCAGTGGGGACAACCTCCAAAAACGAGTGAGTTTTCCACGCGGCGATCTTTATTTGAAATATGAGCCATAAAATTTCTCCCTTTGAATGTATTTACCCCTATGAACCTGATGCATACAAGTCTTTCTGTTTGTTGGAAGGCTTATACATAATACATAACCAAAGGAATGCTTAAAGTGTATCCATTACCTGATAAAACGATCTTTTCCGGTAAAAAAAATGATCTTTCCCCTGTGTTCGGCTATAGCGGAAACCCCAAAATCTAGAGCTTATGGTCTTAAGTTCCAAACAATGCACTTCTCGGCACATCATCGGTAGGGGAAAGGAACTGCTTGACGCTGTATACTAAATACAACAAGCTCCGATTCGCATCATTATGCTCAATAAAAGGAATGAGGGAAGCCAAATCCAAAATATTGAAGGAAGGGAAAATTGGAAGATGAATCTTTTCCCCGGAGCTGGAACAACTTGTTCTTCCTGACCCGATTCAACGCCAAAAATGGCTTGTCCCTACCATAAAGTATTCATATTTCCTGAAGAAAGCATCTGTTCCTTGATCTCTAAGATATTTCATAAAACTCTGTATGGATCCTCAATCACCAATCCTTGCATGAATATGGGTTGTGCTCGAGAGGCTATGAATCGATTGGACCTGCCAATCGAATGAATCGTAACACTCGTAATGATCGACTTACGATGAAGATTCATTGATTCCGGAAGCTCGTAGCAGTGGTCCGGAATAATTCCCAAACTTAAGAAGCTAGCGTGCCCGCCGGCCCCTGACCTGCCTCCGATTACTGAAAGTGAATTCGTTTTAAATTATCCTAAGCTATCATCATTCATTGGTTAGGTTAGGAAAAAGCTAGCTGAAGCAATCTTCTTCTCAGTGAAAGCTAAAGGCCCTGGTATAGTAGGAGTGTGGTGCGTGCTCTCTTTATTCTGTAGATGCGCTCCCGGGAAAGGGAAGCCAGAATTTTGATGTAGATCGATCAATCCCGCCCTGTTCAAGTGATCGCCCCGAGCCGAGCGAGATTGGAGACCGCCTTAATGATTGTTCGTAATGGGCCTACCATTTAACGTACGTATGTCATGTAGTTTTTGTTTTTGTACCTTTGCTGTCCTCAGCCCCCTTCCCACCCTTTCTATCTATCATTAGAAGTAGGGCGGGTGGCGTACCTCACTGAGCTATCGATCGCGAAGCTATCGCCCGGTTCAACCAACCGTCCGTCCTGGTGCCTTTGCTACTGATTTGACCGCTTCTCATCGTTAATCCGGGTTCACCTTGGCCCTCGCCCCAGAGTTCTTATGAAGACTCTGGTGGTGCATGTGTATGATAGGGCCCCCATAAGCGCCAAAGATCGGTGATGTTGTCATGATAAGTGTGGGAAGTCGATAGTACTGATGATTGAAGGACCTATCGACTTGCATTAATCTCCCGTGGCTAGTAGGGGAACTTTTAATGTAATTGGTGGATCCATTAGAAAACTTGGGGTCG